CGGGTTTCTTGTCTTGTTCTGAACAGTCGCTTACAACATCCACCTGTTGGTAAGGAAGAACAGACGATTTCTGGGGGCAGSTTAACGCTACTGGTAGAGGGATTATTTACCCTTACCGCTATCCGCTTTGTTCCACCATCCATCTTTACCCTAACCAGAGTCGGAAGAACCTGTAACGGCTCAGGTAGAGCGTTTACATCACCTTCAATCAGACCCCAGTATGATTTCTCGACTCGAGTTTCTTTGTCTTGACAGTTGTCCAAATAACAGTAGTCTGCATGGCCGGAACGACTATGGCCTTGTTAGATTCTAACCGCACTTTACAATTGGCGGATACTCATGGTGCTAACTTCTTTCGAGTAGCTCAACCTGWTTTAGCATGGAGATTAGCCTACCGTCATCTATCCAGCCAAAGTCGCAGRGMAAAGAAAGCGTTTGCCAATTGTAAAGTGCGGTTAGAATCTGACAAGGCCATAGTCGTTCCGGCCATGCAGACTACTGTTATTTGGACAACTGTCAAGACAAAGAAACTCGAGAAATCATACTGGGGTCTGTTAAGAAAGTAAAGGAGGCGAGTAAAAGCCTAAGAAGAGCCGGTGACCACAAAAAGAGTCTAGCAAGTATCCCTCGAACCTGAGTCAAGACTAGGACCCGAATGCACACTGCATGATTGTAGCCTGGATTTCACGAATAAAATACAGATTGTTACAGTAATAAGCTTACATTTCTGTGCTATCTTTTTAACACTTGTGCAGAAGCACTTAAAAAGTAGATAAATATTTTTTTGGTGTTTTCAACATTATCTAAAACTTACATTTCTGTTATATTTCCAACATGTGCAGTAGTAGGACCTAGATTTCTGTGTACCCAATATGTGCAGTTTTAAAGCACTTTGTAATGACCATAATAATATTAATTATCAATACTGTAGTTGTATGATGCATTTTTCATGTGACTTGACAGTTATTGCATGGGTATTTTTTGGCACTTTATATGCTACTGTAATCTCTGCAGTGAAATGATTCAATTTTCTATTTTACTAGTCTGATTCCTTGTGTTAAATCATCATTTACAAAAAAGTAGAATTAGATCAAGGAAGTACATTATACCCATACTACTGCCAGTCAAATGCTACAAGCACTTCAACATGATTTATTGATAATAATTGAGAGTGGTTTTCATTGGCTTTCAAATAATTACTTATACTAGACACTTTCTAATCAATTTAAGTAATATATAATCAGCTAGATAATATTATACATGCTGACCTTTCTATATCAAAGTTTAGGGTCTAGTATTTATAAGTAAACTTTTTTCATTTCTTGTGAAAACCATTCTATAACATTAATCATCATCATGGCGGCCTCAGCCGAGCCTCACGTCTGGAAGACCAATCCTGGCGGTTCAAAATACATGCGGAAAGCTCGGCTGAGGTGGTCGCGCCCGTGTCCTCCTTGAGGGTGTCTACAAAGGTAGTGGCTGGCCTTCCAGGCCTCCTAAAGCCGTGAGCCGGTTCCCACAGGACCAGCTGACTAGCTGGGAGCTCCCTGTGGCGGTGGCAGTGACCAGCTAGGCCAAGTCTTCTCCAGGCTATCCGGTCAGTAATAAGCGGCAGGTTCCCATAAAGGATGTCATTTGGAACAAGGTCACGCCAGCTGATATTGAGGACAGCCCGGAGCATCCTAGTATAGGTGCCATCTATGGACTTCCGTGTTGAGGAATTCAGAGACCAGCACTCGCTACCGTACAGCAGTATAGACTCGACAGTGGCCCAAAAGAATCTGATTATGAGCTCATGTGATAGGCTCGATTTCCACACTATGCTCATATTGTTCAGAGCCTTCCATGCCATTGC